GATAAAAAGGCTCACTGGGTCATTTTATTATCCTACTTAAACCCTTTCAGTGACTTCCCCTTGCCTTGTACAAAATGAATGCCCTAGACTTTTCTCATGAGACTTATCAACTACCGACCCCTCACTGTTTACATTCCAGACTGCTTACTGGCCTTCTTTCACTTTTCTCCAATCTCCAATTACATGTTACTTTCTTCTTGATGTGTTCCCTGACCTGTCCGCTACCCCTGCCTTGTTAGGTCGGCATATCCATGCTCCTTTACTCTCTTCAGCACAGCCTGCTTCTGATTGCCTGCACCTGTGGTCATCTTCAGTAGTCTGTGGGTTCTCAGTTTTCTTAGGGCCATGCCCATAACTGATACCTTACTTTTTACCATTCAGCGCACTGTCTGGCTTAGAAAGAGAACTTGTGAATGCTTGTTCAATAGATAAAATAACTTACAAGTGGGTTGCAGTACCTGTATGATAGTAAAAAGGATGCATGGGTTCACAGTGAGAAGTTCCAGATTTGAATACAAATTTAGTTGACCATAAAATCATTTTTTCATATACTACTTACAAAAATCCGTAGCATTCACTTTGAGAGGTGTTGGCATTAAAGAAGAAAATGCTACACTTCCCAATCTATGAGCTGGGCCCACCCACATTTGCTTTCCTTTCCATTTTTTATCCTGTTGTTTGTCATGTAATTGTTGGGAAACCGTGTAACAAATGATCATTAATAACATGGTTCAAGATCTAACTCGCTAGTGCCCATAAAGTTACAGTGCTTAAATGAGGGAATAAAGAACAACATGTGGTTAACCAGCACCAAACTTCCTGTTTGATTTCAGCTTGGAGTTTCCTAGTTTTTAAAGTTTCTCATTAGAAAGAACATAGAGGAAATCGGTCCTGACAAATGCCCTGTTTTGTTTGACAAGGGCAAGTCTGTGCTATTGGAGCAGGAATAATTACAAACAATTGTGTAGTACATTATAGTCTTTTGCAGTTGTGTAGCAAATCTCATCTAGTAGAGATCTGGGGGCTCTCATTGTTTATTATATATAAATACCTCTTTTCAGCTATTTTACACTGTACTTTGCTTATCAGCTTCCCATGAATAGATTCTAAGCTGAAGGACAGGGCAGATCAGACTCACCTCTTTAATCTTTAAATTTGTTGAAAAAGGAAAGTTCTCTCAAATATAGTATCTAAATTAATCCTTTCACAGCCATTGAAAGGATTCAGCCATTTCTAGGACCATTCTCATTTTCTACATGAGGAAGCTCAGATTCAGAGAAGCAAATGACCTGTCCACTATCAAGGTAATAAAACACAAGTCTTCTGACTTCAAATTCTGTTTTAAGTTATCTCTTTTTTTTTCTATATAGCTATTATAATTACCACAAGAATTACAGAAATTCTATAAACCCCCCAGTATAAAAGATGAGGAAATAAAAGTCATATCATTTCGTACTATGAAAGTTTTATGCTTACAGCCAAATGATGCTTTTATTTATTGATTGATCTTTTCTCATTGTTTTAGTCTGTTCTCACCCTGCTATTAAAGATATACCCAAGACTGGGTAATTTATAGAGGACAGAGGTTTAATAGACTCACGGTTCCACATGGCTGGGGAGGCCTCACTATCATGGCAAAAGGCAAAGGAGGAGCAAAGTCACATTTTACATGGTGGCAGGGAACAGAGCATGTGCAGGGGAACTCCCCTTTATAAAGCCATCAGATTTTGTGACACTTGTTCACTATCACAAGAACAGCACAGCAAAGATCACCCTGTGATTCAATTATTTCCCACCAGGTGCCTCCCATGACCCATGGGAACTGTGGGAGCTACAATTTGAGATTTGGATGGGGACACAGACAAACCATATCACACATTGACTTGTTCATTTTCTCCTAGTCAAGCTTTATAGTGGGCAGTAACATACAGAGGAAATAATGATTAAATTATATTTACTAAATTTCCCTTTTTTTATTTCTAGGAAATGGTTGCTAATTGGCAGTTGGACCTTTGAATATACTGCAGTGTGATGAGATTTTTATGGAGTTAGTCTTTTAATTCCATACCAAGTATGCCTGAAGGTGTCAGTTTAATTTTGTTTTTATAGTATTCAAACTGTCCATCAATAAGTTGGGAAATCAAATCTCTTTTTTATGATATCAAATAACACTTAGTTTTATGAAGAGGAAATAGGACTCTAGTTTATGGTTTTTCCTTCCAATTTGCCAGTTGGTGTTTTTCAACATTTCCTGTCCAGTACAGTGACAGTATTCTTTTATGGAACATTAAAGGCAGTCTCCTTCATACATATTAATGTTTTTAAAACAAGTGTTTTTGCTAATTGGCTCGGGACTAATGGTCATTCTACAAGACAGTGACAAATTAGCTATTGGATTATTACCTGTTAGTTGTGGGAGGAATTTTAGTATTTATGTTTTTATTTTTTGTTGATAGTGTCTAAAATTAAAAACATTCTCCAATTTCTTCATTTTATGATTGATTTTATCCTTCACTACCTTAAATAACCAACTGGTTGTATCCTTGCTTCCCCTTCATTCCGTTCTGCATACTCCTTCTCCCGCCTTGTTCCCATTACCACCATTTTGTAGTCTCACAAGACTTTGTTTTTTCCATTAACTTTGAAAATGTTATTTTTCATAAATCTTGTATCCACCTTCTAAAGTCCATTTATTCTGCACAGTTTGATAATTAGAATGAGAATGTGGCAAGCGTGCACAAGGCATCCACTTTTTTAGAATAAAAAAATAATATTCTTGACTTTAGAATAGAAAGGAGTTTCAGAAATCTAGTTCAAGCCTCTTATTTGAACTAATACCCAGCAAAGTGCAATGATTTGCCTAAGGTCATACAACTTGTATGTGGTTCAGCTAGAACTAAACCGAGGCTTAAACTTTTTCCAATATATCACATTGCTGATATTTTTATTTCTTATTCTTCGACATGCCCCCGAACCCCTCCCGTTACTCTTGAACATACCACAGAACTACATACACTCCTTTCATCATGTTTGACAATATTTTGTTTTTGATATATCAACCAATTGAAGATAACTTTAACATAGAAACTATAGTTTGTTACCTATGGTCAACTGAGAACTTAACTCCAGCTATGGAGAAACTTTCCTACCGTAAAATTTGTATTTGTAATACATTGTTATTTAATGCCACCTTTATATCCAGAGTATTGATTCTGGAGTCAGATTATGGGCTTCAAACCCCATTCTGTTTATTTCCTTCTTGAATGAAAATTAATGAGCTGGTTAATTTCCTTGAAGCTTAGTTTCCTCATCTCTGATAAACGGAATAATAGTAGTCCCAGCTGGGTGCGGTGGCTCATGCCTGTAATCCCAGCACTTTGGGAGGCCGAGGTGGGGGATCACCTGAGGTCAGGTGTTCGAAAGCAGTCTGGCCAACGTGGTGAAACCCTATCTCTACTAAAAATACAAAAATTAGCTGGGCATGGTGGTGCACACCTGTAATCCCAGCTACTCATGAGGCTGAGGCAGGAGAATCGCTTGAACCCAGGTGGTGGAGTTTGCAGTGAGCTGAGATCATGCCGTTGCACTCCAACCTGGGCAATAGAGTGAAACTCTGTCTAAAAAAACACAAAGAAAAAAGAAAAAGTCCCAATTGCATAGTGTTGTTTTGAGGAACAAATGAAGATATAAATAACTTTGCATAGTGCCTGCACAATGTAAGCATGTGATACTGTGAGCTATTGCTGCTAGCGTTGCTGATGTGTTTCTGTATTTAGTCACAGGTGTTCATACTCCCTTGATACACCGTTTGACCCTCTATTCCCAGTGTCATCATGCTTATCTTTTCTTAAACTTTAGCTGCAGAATATAGATCATCTATAGAGTATAGATGAGGGTTTGCTGTCAAACAGGGCTGGTTTGGGGTGAGTGAATGTGCATGTACAGTGTGGTGTTGTCATCTTCATTGAAGGGGAATGTTCAGGATTGTGCCTGGAGGGCAGCTCTGTAATTTATCATCTGGCTTCCTATGCTGGAACAACAGAGATGGCACTCTGTGGGTCAGCTGAAATAGTAGAGCACAGTCTCCTGTTGGTTTATAGCTTCTTAGGGTCAGTGAGAGCTGAGGTTAATTCAGCAAGGGAATCCACGGACTGTGACATGAATTCCATCAGTTGTTCATAAATTATGGAAGAAATTCTAGGAACTGCTTTTGGGTTTTTAAACCTCTGGGCCAGAAGGTTAATTACTTGCCTACAGTTCCAACCAGCTTTCTGTGTTAATAGATACCGGCTGTGTAGGCCCTTCTGTTCCAGGCTTGCTTGCACGCTGTTATTTCAATATAGTAATAAATCACTGTCTTAGGAAATACGTAATTTTTTGGATAAATACCTGTGATCAACTTAGCAATAAAGAATCAGTATATTATTATTTTATCGTATTTGGATTTTAGCCACTGTTTTTCTTTTGTCTTGAATGCTTTTTTAAAGGAGATAATTTATTCTTTTTAGAATATTTGTCCAACATTATAAAAACAGTAGCTTTAAATAATTATAAGTAATTATAGAGCAATAATAAAATTATTAAAAAATAGATGATTACTGAATTGTAAACACAAATGAAAATTTAAACATTTTAAAACAACATTTTAACACATTTTTAATAAGAATTAGATGACCTCTATATGTTGAGAGATAACTTATTTTGCTATATTTATTTTCTAAGTGTCTCATTACTAACATTAAACCAAATCAAATATTCTCTTACCTGCAGATAATCTAAGAGTTAACGGAAACATTGAGTAGAATTGACATAGAAATACATGATTTCCTTAGCATCATACTTCAAAAGCTTCAGGTTTTCCCCAAGAAATGTTTGAATGGAATTTTCTTGTAAGCAAAGTCTTGAACTGCATGTTTTTTGATGTCTCAATGTTATATTGACACTTTAAATAATTTCTGATCCACAATCACATCGATGGAATGTATCCTTTCTTCTACTGTTTTTTTTTTTTTTCTTTTTTTCTATACTCAGCTCCTACTCAATTGATTTTGGGTTAATGACAAGTATGTCTAACAACTTAAGAGACAGACATTCATTTTGGCTTTCATTAGTAATATGATTATCTATTTTTTATTTCTTCAAATGTATCAAAGGCCCTAATTTTTTAATGTAAAAATTATAGCGCTATGTCAAAGTTTGTTATAGGTTGGATTAAGGGGCACAGAGTGAAAAGTGAGGGAGTGGCATTTGTCCTGGAATATAATGCTATGAACAATAAGCAAATGGATTAATAATATCATCACTGAGACTAATAAGATAGATCATTTAAAATATACCACCATTTACGTAGTTCATATTTTTATCATTTCTTCATTTTTTTGGTATACTAGAGTCCTCAAAAATGGGCATAGCCTAGGCCACAGTTTACATCAACTGTTTGAACAACTTTATCTATTGGTAAATTATTAGATAATATTAATAGCATACCTCTATTAAACTTGCATCACCAACATTTTTCTTTTGGAAAATAAAAGATTTGATTTCCTGTAATTTGTGCTTTCTTCTGCTGTTGCTACTATTTTTCCACACCAGAATAACTCTCTGTGTTGTTCTTCTGCAAATCAGCACTGTGCTTCTAGGCTGGGGAAGGTTTTATGTCTTCTCTAGTTTTATGGGAGAGAGAATAATTTTACGGGTTTCTTGCTACTCAACGTTACATACTCTTGATACTTCCTTGCTGGCACTATTTATAGGAAACTGCTCTGTGTGTAGGCACCAAAGGTTTAACTGCTTAGTTACTCCATGGCCACGGTTCACCAACTTTACCCATAAATATTGGGTTAAATAAAACTTTGGTAGAAATTCCTAAAAATAGAAGACTACTGGGTGAAATGATTGATAATTTTCTCACCAAATTCTGACTCCCTAACAACAAAACCAGATCGATGATGAAGAACACTCCTTCCTTGACTGAAATTCCTCCCTGCCATCGCAGTGTGGGACACTCAGGGAAGAGTTTCTGTTTGTGGGTCAGAACCTTGAAAACTTGGCCAGTGTCTGGATTGTTCAGACCTTTCTGCCATTTGTGGAACAGTCCCCTTGCTTTTGCCGCACTCGCATCAAGACCCTTTCTTGTCTGTCGTCTTGCTCCCTTAGACAAGTCACATGGAATGGGGGTCATTCATACACCTTGTTGGCTAAGCAAGAGCATCCTTAGTAGGGAATCTTTTACTTTCGCTTCGTTAACTTGCCTCTTTTTGTTCTGCATCTCTTATTCTTCTTTTTAAAATTTGCATCAGTAAATTTCGCATTTTGTTTTGCCCTCAATAAATTCACCCAATCTGGCTTTATGATTTCCAACTGAAAAGTTTGTGAGCACATGGCTCTCCTTTTTTTTTTTTTTTCCTTCTTCCCAATGAACCTCATGTCCTTTGAGTTGGAATATCTTCAGAAATGAGGGAGGGATACTGTGACTGTAAGATTCTTAAGGTAAATAATGCATCCTTGAAAGAAATAGATTTTGAAAAACAGACTCCATTTGTTTTGAATCAGATGAAAAAGGTGTTTTGAGAATTAAAGTTTCTCTTAGTTGATTTTTACATTTTATTGCCCACTTTCTCACAACTGTAAACTCTTTTAAGCTCTTAAAAGTTGAGGATCTCTAAATATTCAAGGAGTAATTGTCAAGTTCAGGTTTTTGTTGTCCTTCTTTCAAAGATGGTGTCCTTGGGTTTAACTTGTTTAGGTTAAGGGAGATTCCTCAGAATTTGATTAATGGAGCATTCCAAGAGTAACAAGGTGGGGTTCGGTGAGGTCGGTGGGGTTTCATGGCTCTTTTTGCTGCAGGGAAAAAAAGTATTTCGATTACAGAAAGATGCCAAGAATGAACTTGAGTTACTCCTATTTGTCAGTATAGCATTTCATTTCTCTCTATGGTGTACTTCGAGTTTATTAAATACTCCATAAACTGAAGGGATTGGAATGGTGGGATTGGAAAAGTAATTGGGTGGTGCTTTCACAATTACATTTTTGGTTTAATTTTCATTTAGAATGATTCAGTTTGCTGTTTTGTAACTATTTCCTAGTCTACAAAAGCAAAATATCCCCTGATATTCATGGGAAAAAAGGTAAAGTTCTAAAGAATTCCCATATAATACATATATTTTAAAGTTCAACCATGTGGAATGATCTCAGAGTATTTTTCATGAAACATACACTTTTGAGGTTTGCTTTTTCACTTGAAAGTGTTGCCATCTCTAAAACTGATTTTTGTTAGAAAGCTCAAAGTAAGAAGTAAAGCTATGGTTCCAAAATCTTTAAATATTATTTAATTTGGATTCATTGAAAATAATAAAGTTTGACTTTATTCCATTTTAAATTACATTTTCTGTATATACATCTTTTCATATTTTCAAGGAATTATGAGTTCTTTGAAATCTACATTGGTTTTCAAAATATGTTAAATGACAAGTTAATGTTATTGAAGTGCTTTTTGAAAATGGTCTTTTTATATTAATCCAGATAATTTTATATATATATATTATACATATATATTTAAAACACATTAAGCTTTGCTGCTTGTTTATGAATGTTTCAAAGCATAGGGCACATTGGCTGTACACTTTTTAAAAAATTGTGGTAAAATATACATGATACATAATTTATCATCTTCACAATTTTGCATTTTTTAATCTTCAAGTTTGATTATGGTCATTATTAACATATTAATTCAGTGTATTTAGTAGCATCAACAAAACTTTGATTTCTGTGTCTCTGCTAGAGTGGTCAGGTTCACTGCTTAAATTAAATCCATGTTCTAATTTAAGAATATCAAGATTGAAGTGATTTGCAAGGTTTTTCTTCATTAATTTCATGTATTGTAAACATAGATTTTTTGAAAGGATTTGTGTCAAGATGTTGGATATTGAGGTGGTTACATTGCAGTAGATGGCTATTCACTGATGTGACTTTAGGATCATTTTATCAGTAAGATTAATATCCTAAACTGCCTTCACAAATTTTCTTAAGATGCTATTTTAGTAACAGTATGTTAATCCTTTGGTGAGGGCTAGAATTCTTCTGATGTCTTTAATTAAAATTATATTCCATTTATATGGAACATCTATATGGTAACATATATAAATTTTAATCTGAAAGGCATATATTAAACTAGGATTTGATTTTTTTCGTATTGTTATTAGCCATACTTGCTAGTGGGTGGTTGTCATCATAATACATTTTCTTTGTCAAAGGCTCAAGGTAGCTTGTTGGGGCCAGGCTGGGCTCAAGTCGAGTTAGGTGTTCCATGTGGCGTCCAGATGTTCCCTTTCATTACTACTAGCTGCCTTTGGAAGGCTAGCTCCAATTTTCTAGAGCTGTTTTCTGAATATCCCCCCCAAACATTTCAAATAATGTAGTTTTAAGCTACTTCCATCTCAGGTGTTCCAGCAGTGAGAATTTGGATACACTTACTTCAAGCCGAGTAAGTTAAAGTACCTCCAATTCAAAGACGAAGAGCTGTAAGAAGTCTGCTTGAATAATGTTAAATTGGCATTAAGGAACTGCATTTATTCAATCCTTTTGCCTTTGCTAGTGACTTTAGCTAAGTCCTTCACCTGCCCACTTCTCCAGCCCAGTGATCTTTCTTAAACCTATGTCCTTGTTTTGTATAATTTATCAGCATTTGAAATTATCTTATGTATTTTCTTTAACTTTTTCTTGTCTTTCTCATTACACTAGTAAAATTGAAGAGACAGTGATTTTGTGAAACTATTCGCAACTGCATTCTCAAAGCCCAGGACAGTAACTAGAAGATGGTATGTGCTAAAAAAAAAAAAAAAAAAAAAAAAAATCTATTTAATGAATGAATAAATTAGCTTCATGGAGTATCCACTTTGTGGCATCTTTAAAAATTAACCAAAATCAACTTTTTATAGTTACCATCATGCTTCTGTTTGTTCCTTGATGTGTTGTTCAAAGAAAACACTGTGGCTTTCAATGTTGTTCAGTGTCAGCACATAATTTAAATAAAGAGATGCAAAGAACTCATCTATTTTCCTTTAGTTAAATGAAAAATGTTTTGCGCTTATGTACACATAAATATTATTATTTATGCTGCTGTGCTCACTAAATCTATTTTATTAATCTAATACCTAAATCTCATAGGATGGTATATCATATTTACCAATATTGTATTTCCGTTCTAAACATTGAAAGTGACTACCTGTGTATAGTTCTCAAGACACAGCTTAATATTATGTTAGTATTTGCATTCACCTGGGAACTGCTTCAAGACATAACACACATTCCTAACCTGCCCCCTACTTTTTCTTGATGAGCATTGATAACCAAAAGAATGCTGGAATCTACCAGCCAGAAAGATCTGGTTAATGTTAACAGTTATTGTGAGAAGCAGAGTTTTTGTCATTAACTTTAGAAAGTCTAACCCAATTTATGCAAAATGCTAGCCATATTACTAATATATGTGATGGCATGAGGTTAAGAGTGGGTTCAAACTCAGCCTCCACTACATAAGAAGCTATGTCATCTTGAGCAAATTACTTATCCTTTCTGTGCCTTACTTTCCTCATTTGTAAACTAGGGATATGAATACTTAGATTATAATATTGTTGCAAGAATTAAAATTGCTAATGTGTGTTAAGCATTCTGAACTGTAGAATAAAACCTAATAGACTCTATACATTTTAGCTATTGTTATTGTTTCCATTTAGATTTGTTCTTAGCTACTTTTTTTGGCTAATTTTCAGATTAATTAATTTACATGTTAGTCAGAATTTGAATACTGTGACTAGCCTAAGCAAAATAGAGATAATGTCTAAATACACCTGAGATATTAAAACATAGTAGTTATTTGAAGTTGGATCGCATTGTACATCAGAGCCCAGGTACTGACAGTGACCTGTGTTCTTAGAGTTGACTAAAATTGAAGATAAGTTTTTGTTCTCTGCAGGATCATTTTATGTGTAGGTGAAAATATTTCCTAGAAACATTCTTCACAGTAATTTGAAATAATGAAGGCAAATATCATATGCATAATGTGAGTTTGAAAACCTAAGAATAACAATTTATCTTTAATATGAAAATTAGGAAAATGACTTTAGTAATTATTAACATGTTGACTGTACAGGTAACCTTCAGGTTCCAATTGTGTGATAGCTTTGTTCTTGGAGATAGCAGATAGCTTTGTCCTTGGAGTCCGAAAGAGATGCAGGAGTGCCCTAAGCATCCTTCAACCAAGAGGGTAGAAGTTTAATGTAGAGTCTGAGCTGATTTGCAAACTACACAGTATAGTTTTCAAATAAATTGCTTATAAAAGCCATTTACATGGTCATGCACTTTGAAGCTGGAGTACATTCTAGGATGGAATGAAGGAATAGAGTTGAACTTACCCAAGTTTCCCAGATATGTCAGCTCAGTGTTGGGGAGTGGCATGGGGTAGAAATACCAGTCATCTAGAGGTGTTCTGAGTGGTTTATGTAGACCTCATGGGCAACAGATGTGTAGACATCAGTGATAAGAGTAATTGCCACTGTTAAGAGTAGGATGACTGGGCTGGGCGCAGTGGCTCAGGCCTGTAATCCCAGCACTTTGGGAGGCGGAGGTGGGTGGATCACGAGGTCAGGAGGTCGAGACCATCCTGGCTAACACGGTGAAACCCCGTCTCTACTAAAAATACAAAAATTAGCCAGGTGTGGTGGCGGACACCTGTAGTCCCAGCTACTTGGGAGGCTGAGGAAGGAGAATGGCGTGAACCCGGGAGGCGGAGGTTGCAGTGAGCCGAGATTGTACCACTGCACTCCAGCCTGAATGACAGAGCGAGACTCCATCTTAAAAAAAAAAGAGTAGGATGACTGTGTTAATTTGTTAGGGCTGTTGTAGCAAGATGTCACAAACTGAGTGGCTTAAACAATAAAACTGTGTCGCCTCTCAGTTCTGGAGGCTGCAAGTCTGAGATCAAGGCACTTGCATGGCCATGCTCCCTCTGAAGGCACTAGGGAAGGATCTGCTCCAGGCCTCTCTCCTGGCTTCTGATAGTTCTTGGTTTGTGGCAGCATAATTCCAGTCTTCACATGGCATTCTCCCTGTGTGTCTCTGTCTTCACAAGGCAATCTTTTTATGAGGACATCAGTCATATTTGATTAGGGTCCCACACTACTCCAGTAACGTTTGCAACAACCCAGTTGCCAAGTAAGACCATATTATGAGGTACTGGGGTTTAGGACTTAAACATATGAATTTGGTGTGGGAGGGCACAATTCCATTCATAACAAGTGACCTTGTATCTGTTGTCCCAATTGAGACACTGGTGAGAGTGAAATGGAGTAATATTGTATTAGGGTTCTCCAGAGAAAAAGAACCAATAGCATATGTATAGATATATATGAGGAGATTGATTATGGGAATTGGTTTACACAGTTATGGAGGCCAAGAAGTTCCACGATGTGCCATTTTGCAAGAGACCCGGGAAAGCCAGAGGTGTAATATAACCTGAGTTTGAAGTTCAGCAAACCAGGTGAGCCAAAGGTGTAACTCAGTCCAAGACCAAAGGCCTGAAAACCAGCAGCAGGGGTTTGTTGATGTAAGTACTGGAGTCTGAAGGCCAGAGAACTGGGAGCTTCCTTATGCAAGGGCAGAAGATGGATGTCATCTCAGATCAAGGAGAGAGATGGAGGGAGGGAGGGAGAGAAGAAGTAGAAGAGGAAGGGGAAGAGGAGGAGGGGGAAGAGGAGAAGAAGAAGAAGAAGGAGAAGGAGGAAAGAAAAAGAAAGAAAGAGAGAGAGAGAAAGAAAAGAAAAAGAGAAAGAAAGAGAGAGAGAGAAAGAAAAGAAAAAGAGAAAGAGAGAGAGAAAGAAAAGAAAAGAAAGAAAGAGAAAGAGAGAAAGAAAGAAAGAAAGAAAGAAAAAGGAAAGAAGTGGAAAGGAGGAGGAGGAAGAGGAGGAGGGAAAGAGAGATAATTAATTAATTCACTGTTCCTCCATCTTTTTGTTCTATCCTGGTCCTCAGTGGATTGAATGATGCCTGCCCACGTTGGTGAGGGTGGATCTTTACACAGTCTACTAATTCAAATGCTCATCTCTTCTGGACACACCCTCAGAGACCCAGAAATAATGTTTTACCAGCTACCTGGCCACATCCCTTAACCTAGTCAAGTTGACATGTAAAATTAACCAGCTATTACTATATTGTTCTAGGATAACAGGCATAAACTGAGACTACTTTAGACAAATCTGGATATATGGTCGCCACACCCATAGGATAGGTATAATTTATCCAGTTTTTCAAAGGTTCAATGGCGTTGGATGATTTTCTCAGAGTTACAACTGGACAGAGGATGAGCAGTATTCAAACCCAGGACAATCACATTCCAAAAAAATAATTTAAAAAAGCTATGTCTTAAAAGAAGTTAGCCTTTTTAAGTCTATGGACAGAATTCCTATATTATGACAGTAGGTAAAGTTGGAAATGGATTCGTTATGTTCCCTTCTTTAAAATTCCTTACTAGTCTTTAACTATATATTTCTTTCTTTGCTTGATGGATTTTGGCTGTTATGACAGGAAATAGTAACCTGGTATACTATATTAGGATAAACATAATTATTTACCTGATGACTGCAAGTCTTTTGTTTTTGTTTGCTGGCCTCTCTATTGGTATTTGGAGAACAAAACCAGATGTAAAGCTATGTGATACAAAGAGAATAGCTATGAATATTAAATTATCTTAGGCTTGCTAGAAAAATAATTTTACATAAGTGTAGAGCATGTTGCTATTCTTATCGTGCTTTATCCCTAATATAGATTTGATTTATTGATGATTTCATTGTTCATAAATAAGAAGGAAACATTTTAGCCTTCTTTATTATCTATCACCAAAGTAAAATAAACTTTGAAAATCTAAAAAATTACTTTTTGTACTTTATGAAGAAGAAAATGAAAAAATTATCTGGAATTGTGTGATGCAGGAGCTACCACCATTTAGCAGTCGCATTCTGCTATGTTTTCTTCCTGTCCTTTTCCTTTGTGGTTCAAAGTTAAATGATTAAGATCTCAATAAATGATAGCTCCTGCTGCACTCCTACTGTTGCTGCCAATGCTGTTACTGCTATTACTGTGATGTTCATTTTATATCATCATCCTGAAATAGAAACATTCTAGATACATCAGAGAAGTGATATCATTGTGACTTAGAGTCTGGATGGAGGGAGAAGTGAGTAAAAAAGTGGGGGGTTATCTTGAATGGCTCCCAAGTTTTTTATTTGCTAACTAGGTACAACAAGTTTTTTATTTGCTTACTGTACAACTAATCAGGACAGGATATATAGCACACACAAGACCAAAGGATAAATACCACAAATTCAAAACAATGCACACTGATTTAAGCTGTTTGTGAGATACCCAAAGGAGGGTACCTGTTAGACATATCTATACCTGGCGATTGGGGCTCAATAGAGATCTGGAATTTAGATAAGCATGTATTATCAACTCAGGGTTAAAATAAGATTATGTTTTCCTAAATGTTACCAAGCCTTTGTCCTACTGACTTTGAAAAGCCACACCTTCCCAGAGTCATGATGATCCTAAGGTCAATAAGTCTAGGTCAGCTTACCTAGTACAAAGGTTGATTTTGTCTCAGAGAAGTTGGCAAGTCTGGATAGCTCATTTAAGGACCTGTTCCTGCTTGTGTTGTGATTGTTGTTTTTAGTTTCTTGCTAGTTTGGGTGTTTGTCACCATTTTACAGTGCCTGGTCCAAAGGGAGAATCCTGGGTGCTCCTCCCCAAGGAGGAGAGGCTAGAAAATGCCGCCTGGCAGGGGCACTGCTGCAGGTGCTTCCATATGATGTCACTGCTGAAAACAAAGTTTGGGAGAACAGTGCAAGGCCATTGTGCAATGGGGCCAGCCTTGAGACCCAGGAATGTAACTGTCCATTTCATGAAGCAGTGTTAGGGACAGGGGAGAGGTCAAGTAAGGCCTTGTTGAAAAGTAATCACTGGATCAAGCAACAAAGGGCATTGTTGACCCCATAAGGGAGTTGACTGGGATAATGCACATGATATCCAGGTTGAATTAAAATCAGAACCAAATGGAACATGACAGAGTAGAGGAAGAACATACACTGCTAGTCAGAAGGCCTGGCTCTGAAGGGAAGACAGAAGTTTTACATTAGCTGAAGGAAAATATTTTATTTTATTGATCTTTGATTGCAGCCAGGGTCTAGCATCCTGCTGTGTAAGTACATTGTTAAATGAAATAATAAATCAATTAGTGATTTTGAGCTACTGTCCATCCTAAATAATTTGGCTTTTATAAGAGGGCATCTTCAGATCCCTTTTGGAGATTAAATTTTGTCACAGTTTTGTCATTTCACAGTAGAATTTTTTTTTTTAAAATGTGCTGTGTATGCATGTGCTTGTCTTGAAAAACATCTTGGCTATTTTCAAAATTATAGCCTCTAGGTGAGAGGTAGTTGATTATATCAGAAAGTGTGGCTTAATTATTATTTAGTTTAACTACCAATGGTCCTTTTGAACATACACCAATTTTATGAAATTCTTTTGAAACTCACAGCCTTAACTGAGTCAAATTCATTTATATGAAACAAAACAAAGTGTCAATAAATCAGGTAAATAATTCCCCTTAGAGTAGTACAGTGACAGAGCAAATTGATTAACATAAAATATTTTTAACAAATTCTTAAAATTACGAGATTTAATTCGGACTCAAGTATTAAAAGGAATATGCAGCAAATATGCTACTGGCAAATGTTTATTTTTGAGTATCAGAAGTGCCCTGGGCTCGGTGCCCTCTCCACAGGAGGGGAGGCCACAGTCCACTGCTGTCCTGCACAGCCCATGCTTGGGTCTGCCCTGCTGTGCCTGGAGCCCACTTGAAGTAGCACAGGGCATGTGTGGTGGCCAGGATCTGAGTGTATGAGAAGTGATAGCACAGGACTGGTTCTGCTACTTCACGTTTTCCTGACATTCAGGCTTCCTTTATTTGTAGGTGAGCGTCCCTATCAATGTCCTTACTGTGAAAAAGGATTCAGTAAAAATGATGGACTGAAGATGCACATTCGTACTCACACCAGGGTAAGATTATATTCTATTTCATTAATATTGATCATGAAAACCATACTTTTTTAAAGGAAATATATTTAACTTTATATTACAAAATAAAGGCAATATACTGGAAGTTATATATCTATATTTATGATAGACATTTAAGGATAATTTTTTTAAAAGACAAAAACAATGAAAAAAAAGATGAAAAAAAACACGAATTGAAACCCCAAAAACGTTTTTATTCTTTGAATCAGGAATCAATTTTCAGGAGATGTAAATGATGAACTGCAAGATAAATAGATTTTTAACATTTTAATACTACAATATTTAAAGGTTTTTCCTGCAGAACATTCACCAGTAATAGGAACATTTTTTAATAGAGTCTGCAAATTTGTCAGCATTTGACCATTAAGTAATACTGATGAGCAAGTATGTTTGCAAGAAAGACATTGCAGATAAATTACCAGGACAGGTGGAAAATAAGGAAGTGTAACTCAGTGCTTCACAGGGCATGCCTAGTGCTGTGGCTTATTCTTCCCAGGATACCCTTTGTTCCTTTGCTGTCAACACTGTCACTGAACTATTGTCGTTCTGTTATCTATGCCTTTTCCAGACTCAAGCATCTGTTTCACATGCCTTTAAAAAAATGTAGGCAGCTTACTCACCATCACCACCATTTCATAGCTAACTATTCCATTTAAGGCACAATTAGACACTTTAAATGAACTTTCCACATGGAAATTTTGTGTTGTTTTAAATAGCTATTGTTGATTTTGCTCTATTCAACTTTTCACTGCATTATCTTTCAGTTTCTTTTCAGTTTCGCCTTTTAAAGTGCATATGGTCTGTATGTAAATGATATTTTTTTTCAAATATTAAGAGACTTATCTAATCCCCTTTAGAACAATTCTAATTTAAACCGCTCCTGGATTTTACTTTTTACCTTAGCTATAAAAGAAAAACTTTAGAGAAAACACATAATAGTAATATTCTTCCTGGTAAAATAATACTGTAGCCCTCCACTTCAGTTCGGCAGCACATAAAATCTATCCCCTGAGGTCCCCTTAAGAAAATACTTTATTTGTCTTTGTGGTGAAGAGAGGGAGCTTCTCCACTCATTAAAACAAATCTATAGCAGGTTTCTCATTCTAGTTTGTAGTATCATATTCATATTATGTGAATATTAGGAATTGGAGTACTTCCTAGATATAAAAGTACTTCATAAACCGTAAAGCATTAGAAAGATATTCCTGTTTATAATAGCATGATTTAAATATACAATATCCAAAATATTTCACAATGAGTATTATGAAAGAGGTTTAAATTAGCTTTAGATTAGGAGGTTATTTTACATGTGAGCAGTTGTCACAGATGTATCAATAATGTATTTATTTAAAAGATGCGGACATAGGCAAAGGGGCCCTGGTTCCTTTTAATAGAAACCAGTGATATTGACAGAAATTTACATATGATGTTGTTTTACTTGATTACTGAAGGTAGACATGATTACAACACGGAAGAAGCTGTTTAAATCACTGCAAGAAAAATATTTTTGGGGTTTTTCAGGAAGGTGAGACATTTCCGATTCAATTGAGTTGGTTTTTACTTCATTTTAATATAAAGTTATTAATGAGAATAATACAGATAGTTAAGATGAATAAAAATAAACACACAATCACTAATTACATGCCAGTACTCTTTTAGACCTTTGCATTTATTAATTTATTTAAGCTTCACAACAACTCTATGAGGTAGCTGTTATTATGATTTCTTTTTGAAAAACAAGAAACTGAGGCACAAACAAATAAGTGGCAGAGTTGAGATTTGAACCTAGGGAGATTGGCTACAGAGACCATTTGCAATTTTTTGCCTATTATTCAACTGAATATTTTCTCATTCCACCGGCTCATATATTTTCTGGTATATTTCCACACTAAACAAATTACAGTAATGACCCCAAATTTAAAAGTCCCGTATCCTTTTGAATTTTTGAACCTCGATATAAGGATTCCAACACTGTCTCCAAAGTATTCAGCTGCAGATGGTCCCTTGTCAGAAGTTTTCTGACATTAACTGCACAAAAAGAAAACAAATTCTAGGCTTTGACTAAGGGAACTCAAGAGAATGTACAGACCAGGAGCACTCAGGATTTTAGGCAGGATCGCCCACAATGAGTAGAAGATCCAAGGAACAGGGTAAATATGTGTAAGCCTTTTGGGTTTTACCTCAAACTCTTTTTTAATTTTCCTTTTTTGTGCATTTTTAAAATATTTTACCCAAGCAGTTTTATTTTGAAAATACTGTTTCCTAAGCATTGAATAAATACAGATAGTCTTTGCATATTAGTTCAAATTTTCAAAAGCCTACTAAGGTTATCAGCTAGTACAATCAAACTATTATTAAAACTCAAAAGAGATTTTAAAAAATATTCTAGAGGAACAACCTCTGCAAGATCATATTTTCCCAGTATTATTTGCATTTTGTAAGACTCCAGTCAAAAAAGATACTGTTACATTTGGGCCATAACACATTTCAGTTTCAATTTTGCATTCACATTACATAAGCATTTAAATAACTCTAATTCCCAGACATTTTTGGTCCTATTTTAAAAGTTTTTAATTCCATTTTAGCAACAACAGAAAAAAAATAAGCTATCTAATTCAGTAAGGTACATCTTTAGGAAGTTTTGCTGAGACAACCCAAGATGCTGTGTCAGGCCTGTACCCCCAAGTTTGCATTCTGTGGTGACTGCATGAATGCCTTCTAGAAGGAACATAAAGCCATTTACTCTCTGGTTATTGTCTATAGGATGCAGTAAGAGCCCCAGATGTGGGAGATAATTTTGCCAAAATCTAATTAATCATTGACCTTTCTTGGAGAGACCAGGGTTTGAGGTGAAGTCTGGTGATTTTACTTCCTTCAGTATATTCTCTTTATATTTGTTGTTTTCAGCTTCTGGCTATGTTGTACCTAGTTGTGTTTTTCATTGTATTTTTGCAGCTTAAATCTGTAGTCTGCTATCTTTAGTTAAATTTCAGAAAATTCTTGGCCATTTTTTTTTTTCAAATTTGTTTTGTCCCTTTCTTTCTGTCTTCTTATGGGACACCAGTTACACATGTTAGACTATTTGATATTGTTCCAGAGTTCTTGAATACTCTATTCTCTTTTTGTTTCCTTTGCATTTAAAAAAAAAAAAAACTCAGTGTTTTTCTCTGTGTTTCTAATTTCTATTGATATTTTCAACTTCATTGATTTTTCTACCTCTGTTGTGCTGTCTGCCTATTGAAGGAGTGCATCTTTGATATTATGTTTTTCATCTCTAGCATTTTCACTTGGATTTTAAAAAATTGTTTCCATAAGGCCTGGCACAGTGGCTGATTCCTGTATTTCCAGCACTTTGGGAGGCTGAGGTGGGAGGATTGCTTGAGGCCAGAAGTTCGAGGCTGCAGTGAGCTATGATCGTGCCACTGCACTTCAGCCTAAATGACAGAGTAAGACCCTGTAAGACTCAGTTAAAAAAAAATACTATTACATTTAGGCCGTAACACATTTCAGTTTTAAATTTGCATTTAAAAATAAAATAAATAAATAAGAAAATAAATGGTTTCTATATTTCTATTGAAATTGCCCATTTGTTCATCTGTGTGACCCACCTTTTTCACTGAATTCTTTGACATATTAATTGTAATCATTTTAAATTCTTTCTTTGGTGTTTCCACCATCAGGGCCATCTGTGGATCTCATTGTTTTGACTATTCTATCTCTTGATAATGAGTGGGAAGATTGCAGGAGTTTGCTTTTTAAGTGTAACATAATTTTTGCACGTCTGTTTGTGTGTGTGTGTGTAAAAGAAACTAAGTCTCTAAGTCTAAT